TAAATACTTATAAATACCAGCCAGAGGGTTTTTTTTTTTTCAGAAGATCAGCTCAATAGTGACTTGTTTGTGGAGTAAATTGGATCATGCTTTGCTGTGGGTTTTTTTTTTTTTGCCTTCCTCTGGATCAACTGTGGGTGTAAGATTGTGGATATGGGATTGTATAATTTAATTTATTTTTTTTTTTTTTTTTTCCCCTGGTTGAACTAGATGGACTTGTCTTTTTTTCAACCAGACTATATAACGAGCAGAAAATACATGCAGTGCTTGTAGTTTTTGCTTTACTAAATATATGCTATTATACAGTACACTGTCCTCAGCCCACTGGTATTGCCCTTTCACTGAGACCTTAGCCGTTTCTGTGGAAAAGTGGTGCTTCCTGCATGCAAAGGGACACATTGCAAGTTCGTGTTTAAAGCAACGACCCTCTCAGTTAAGGTGGGGATTTAATCTGAAGTGAATAGCTACCAATCAGATCCGCAAACACCTTTGAGTGGCTCTAAGGTTATAAAAATGGACTAGAGTAGCTTGGACAGAACCTGCCTTTAGTCATGGTGAAGTGACTATTGGAAAAGCAGTGACTGGTTGAAACTGAGAAGAGGCTACTCAAGCTAACTGCTAAGCAATCTGGTTCATGGACAAGATCACTGGCTTGCCTATGAAATGTATAGAGGTAAGAGAAAAAAATGGAAACACTACATTATTTGCAGGTGTGACAGTAAGGACATGTTTTGCATTGAAAGTGAAAGTGATGTAACATTCTTTTGTTTCCTCTGTGTGAGGGGACATCTAGCTAACAGCTGGGAAGCCTCGCTTTCACCATTCACTGAGCGTGCTGCTATTAATACAAAGTCATGTCAGAGCTTACCTAGCGTCAGAGGGCAAATTGTTGGTGCCTGCTTAGCTGGTGCCTCTGTGACTGAAGTTGTCAATTTATTTGCCGTGTCGCGAGGTAAGTATCTAGTGTTATGACGGCATAGACAGTCTATGGGAAAACATTGTCTGATGAGCGCAGTTGACATGGTCAGCTGACCGAAAGAGGAAAAAAGGACATTGTGCATGATTGTGACCCGGAATAAGAAAGAGCAGAGCTCAATTTCAAGTCACTATAGCAACAGTTTTCTTTTTAATGGTAGAGAGAGTTCCCCATACCCCTGAAGAGCACTACATAGGGAGGCCACAAACCGCATCTGCTTGGCAAGGTAACGTTAGTGTCATAAGCTTTTGTCATGTATTAATGTCAAATAGGGCTCATATATATGCCATTGTGATGGTAATATTGTAAGCTGCAAGCCAAAAAAAAAGAGGTAAACATTGGGGGATACCTTACTTTTTTAAAAAATCTGGGCTGAAGTACAGTGGGGCTAAAAAAAAGTATTTAGTCAGCCACCAATTGTGCAAGTTCTCCCACTTAAAAAGATGAGAGAGGCCTGTAATTGCCATCATAGGTAGACCTCAACTATGAGAGACAAAATGAGAAAAAAAATCCAGACAATCACATTGGCTGATTTGGAAAGAATTTATTTGCAAATTATGGTGGAAAATAAGTATTTGGTCAATATCAAAAGTTCATCTCAATACTTTGTTATATATCCTTTGTTGGCAATGACAGAGGTCAAACGTTTCCTGTAAGTCTTCACAAGGTTGGCACACACTGTTGCTGATATGTTGGCCCATTCCTCCATGCAGATCTCCTCTAGAGCAGTGATGTTTTGGGGCTGTCGCTGGGCAACACGGAATTTCAACTCCCTCCAAAGGTTTTCTATGGGGTTGAGATCTGGAGACTGGCTAGGCCACTCCAGGACCTGGAAATGCTTCTTACGAAGCCACTCCTTCATTGCGCGGGCGGTATGTTTGGGATCATTGTCATGTTGGAAGACCCAGCCATGTTTCATCTTCAATGCCCTTGCTGATGGAAGGAGGTTTGCACTCAAAATCTCACGATACATGGCCCCATTCATTCTGTCCTGTACATGGATCAGTCGTCCTGGTCCCTTTGCAGAGAAACAGCCCCAAAGCAAGATGTTGCCACCCCGATGCTTCACAGTAGGTATGGTGTTCTTTGGATGCAACTCAGCATTCTCTCTCCTCCAAACACGACGAGTTGTGTTTCTACCAATTGGTTCTATTTTGGTTTCATCTGACCATATGACATTCTCCCAATCCTCTTCTGAATCATCCAAATGCTCTCTAGCAAACTTCAGACGGGCCCGGACATGTACTGGCTTAAGCAGGGGGACACGTCTGGCACTGCAGGATCTGAGTCCCTGGTGGCGTAGTGTGTTACTGATGGTAGCCTTTGTTACGTTGGTCCCAGCTCTCTGCAGGTCATTCACTAGGTCCCACCGTGTGGTCCTGGGATTTTTGCTCACCGTTCTTGTGATCATTTTGACCCCACGGGGTGAGATCTTGCGTGGAGCCCCAGATCGAGGGAGATTATCAGTGATCTTGTATGTCTTCCATTTTCTAATTATTGCTCCCACAGTTGATTTGTTCACACCAAGCTGTTGCATATTGCAGATTCAGTCTTCCCAGCCTGGTGCAGGTCTACAATTTTGTTTCTGGTGTCCTTCGACAGCTCTTTGGTCTTCACCATAGTGGAGTTCCGAGTGTGACTGTTTGAGGTTGTGGACAGGTGTCTTTTATGCTGATAACAAGTTCAAACAGGTGCCTTGATACAAGTAATGAGTGCAGGACAGAGGAGCCTCTTAAAGAAGAAGGTACAGGTCTGTGAGAGCCAGAAATCTTGCTTGTTTGTAGGTGACCAAGTACTTATTTTCCACCATAATTTGCAAATAAATTCTTTCCAAATCAGCCAATGTAATTGTCTGGATTTTTTTTCTCATTTTGTCTCTCATAGTTGAGGTCTACCTATGATGCCAATTACAGGCCTCTCTCATCTTTTTAAGTGGGAGAACTTGCACAATTGGTGGCTGACTAAATACTTTTTTGCCCCACTGTATATGTAAACCTCAACAGTGAACTCCTCTTATTTGCTCATCCCTTAACAAGAAAAATCTAGCCATGTAAGGATGTCTTAACCTGGATAAGAATGCAGCCAGGGAAATATCTAAAATCTTAGTTCTTATCCTGATAGCATGTTCATTTAGTTAAGCATGCCTGCTAATTGTTGGGGAGTTCCTTTTATGGTCCCTTTTGATATAGTCCTCAAAGAGGGCTGTTTTTTCTTCTCCCAGGTTGTGCAGATTGCTAGTGGAGACTTAGCTCCTGGCTGTTCAAAAACTAAGCAAGTATTCCTGTACCTTCCAGAGGGTCCAATGAGGAGTACAGCTTCCAGCTGGCATGCAGATTGCCACAATTTCACTGCCAGAGTTTGCAATTAGAAATTTTTTTCTCACTAGTTTTAGCTACTATTATATACAAGTTTGTTTACAGTTGTGGTCTCCCAACAGGCATTTTGTGCAAGTCTGTATCATGATAGTTCTCTTCCTGACATGTGTGCGACACATATATACTGTGTATATCTCCGCACACAGGTTGGAAATCTCTGGTCTATAGCTGGTTCTGAAGAAAGAAGGAGAATAGGTAGCACAATTGTGTGTTTTATATTACAATCTGTTTATTTGATTTATCATATAAAGGGTAAAGAACAATTCTTTTTACATGGGGGACCAGTTAACAATTTGGGACTGATAGGAATCAGAGTATCCTAACAGAAAATGAAGTTGGCAATTCCAAGTGCAAGAATAAATATCAAAAAGCGCAAGGTTTTTTACTTTCATGTATTATGTGCATGAAGGTAAAAAAAAACTTTCTGTGTACTTGCAGAAAGCCTATACATAAGTGTTATGACAAAATAGTAATGGTAAACCAACTCCCTGCTTAGGAGCTAGAAGGGAAAAAGAAAATGGAGATAAAGCAACCTGTAGAAAAACAAAGCAGAGAATATAGAAATGGTGCGTCCAAGGTCTCGCTAGTCCGTTGCCAGGTATTGTATTCAGGGTCCCATGTTTTGTTAAATTTAGTTTTATTATGTTAAACAAAAACCAAATTGGATCATGATTAATGATAAACTCAAAGAACATCAACTGATTCTATTTCTGTGCAGTTGTGATACAGGCTGCTAAGATAATGTCAGTTATTAAGCTTTTCGAGTTTTTGAGGAGTTCAATATCTAATTTTTGGAAAAGTGCTACTTCTGGAGCTCTGTTTGTTCTTCCCCATTATAGAGTGTATTACATTAAAAAGTCTAATCCAAAGTCCTTTACCTTAGGGCGCTGACACTAAACAGGAAACCTAGTGCCTACCTGGCATATTGTCAGAAACAGTAGGATGATGCTTGTGGGCAAATTTTAACAACCTTATTGGGAAACGTACCATATAAGTAAAGTTTTATAGTTCGATTCAACCAGGGTCATATTAATGGACATTTAGATAAATTGTTAGCTATCCTGCCATTCAGTTAAGTCCAGTGAGTATTGTATGTATATTGAGATTGCGCTCACATTGTTCAATTTATGGAAGTTTATAGGTCGGATCCACTAAAAGATTATAGAGTATAGAAATACGGCCCTTTGTAAAATCTTTGGTTTTGCAAGAAAGCTCATGTGGCTGGGTGGCATGTGTCACCTTAGGATGTGATTTGATGGTATCGAAACACTTCAGAGGAGGGTAATTGTAGACTCTTTTTATAGTAATCCAGACTCTGAATATCATATCAGATAAAATCACCAATCTGTATGAGGCCTTTGTTTTCCCACCATCAAAAAAAGGCGTGGGAGTAGCCCCAGAAAAAAATTCAGGTTTATTTAGTAAGGGAGCAAGAGGAATATGAGGAGAGTGAAGCAGTTTCCTAGCTCTCAGTATATCCCAAACAGTTAACCTATAGGATAAAGTGGGATACATAATAGGAGGGTTAGTGCTGTGTTTTGAACTCATTTATTTATAAGCATATTAGTTGAATTTTACACAAATTAAGCATGACTAAATCTGTTTGCATACTTTAAAATATTTATCTTTGTGCTCTTTTCATATTTCAGGTGGTAAGAGCAGATCACATTCAGCTTATCGTACCACTCTTAGTGGAAAATAATTTATGGTCATGTGTCCCTGGAGAAGAGACTATCCTCAGCTTACCAGGGTTTTGCCTTTTGCGTAGAGAAAACGTTGAGTACTTTCCTCGTGGGACCAGTTACTGGGACCGTTGTGTTGTAGGGGGTTACCTATGTCCAAAGATGATGGTAGCCACATTTGAGAAAGTTGTAGCTGGTTCAATCAACTGGCCAGCTATCGGCAGCATGTTGGGATATGTGATTCGGCCAGTAGTGCCATCTGAAAGCCTTATTTTGGAAGTTCAGTATGAGGATGACAGGAAGCTCTTCATAGACTTTTTGCCATTAGTTGCACTCGGGGAGCACCTAGCAGTTGCTAAATCTCATAGACTGGAACGTTATGGAAACATGTGGCGATTAAGTCAACGTGGAGCAGAAACCGCTGCATTAATAGGACGAGATCAACAGGATTCAGGATGTCGGTGCCTCTGCCTAAAAATATTAAAGGCCATCTGTCGATACAATCTGCCTCTGTCCCATCTCACAGCTTCCCACCTCACCAACATACTCTTACATATTTGTGAAAAGGAGGACGACTGGTCACAGGGCTCTTTAGCAGATCGATTCCTTCAAGCACTCCGAGAGACCGTTTGCTACTTAGAAAAAGGAGAGTTACCTTCAGCCTTGGACCCCAAAGTGAACTTATTTTCAGAACTCACACCAGAAGAGGTGGATGAGATGGGCTATTTTCTCTATTGCTCCTTATCAGAGCCAGAGGTGCTGCTGAGGACAGGAGAATGAGAATGTAGGGTGGGGAAGGTGGTAATGGGGAGTAGACATTACAGGGTTGTCACATTGCTAAACTTTGAAGGATCAGTCAAAAATCCAGCTAGCAACAATACTGTTATTACACAATGCCAAAATACTTTCATATGTTACTTCCTAGGGACTTAGCTTGGCTCTTTTCAGTTTGTTCACAGCTGCTCTCTGGGGGGGAAGTGTCTTTGTTGAAGATCTAAATAATAGCAAACAACTTTTAATTTCATGCTTTTGTCTGTAACAAAACACTGTCATTAACAAAAAAAAGTAACCAAATACACCATTATCAGGAGCTTTTAAAATACTCTACATTAGTGTCTCCATTGACTCCAGTTTTTGCTGTTGCTGAGATAGAGGTGTAGCTAGTATCTAAAGCATTCAACACATTCTACATTTGCGCACTGTGGTTCCATCCCCCAGCCAATATTTCACCAGTTTGTTCCTGTAGCTTTGTAGTAGCTGGACGAGTGAGGCTTCCAAAGTGTTGAGTGGTGAAGATTCTAGCATCATCCCTAGCTCTACAAGAACATTTTGAAGGTTAGCACAGTGGCTTAGTGGTTAGCACTCCTGCCTTGCAATTCATATCCCAACCAGGACACTAACTGCATGGAATTTGCATGTTCTCCCTGTGTTATGTGGTTTTCTTTGGGTATTCCAGTTACCTCTCACACTCAAAAGACATGCTGGTATGTTACTTGACCCTAGAATGTGAATGTATCCTTGTGAGTTAAGGACCTTAGATTTTAAGGTCCCTAAGCGCAGGGAATGATTTGAATGTACAGTAGGTAAAGAGTTGAGTAAGTTGTTTGTGCTATATATAAATTCCTGTGTTTAATAAAGGCAATGGAGGCACCAGTTGTGGATATTTTAAATAAACCTTAAAATGTTCTATTGGGGTTTTTTTTTTTTTTCATAATAATCCTATTTACGTAATTAGCGATGAAGTTTATGAAAAGCGATTCGACCTTCACGTAAGTGTTTATGGACTTCTCACTTAAATTCCAGATTTTGTTTACTTGAATTCTTCCATATTATTCAGTGACATTTTTCCAGAATACCATTGTCTGCTTTCATTTTCTAACCTGCTTTATCAAAACAGCTGGTGGAGTTTGATGGCTTGTTGTGGGTAACATCCTTGCTTTCCTTTTGTCCTTGTTTGTATGAATGCTGTTGGAAGTGTATTAGCTGATTTCTCTCCAAAAAAGGCTATATTTAGAATGGTATTTTTTATCAGTGTTTGTCAGTTGTTTTCTGTCTCATAATTTCTCATTTTTAAAATGCATAGCAGAAAACCTCCAGATGTAGTTTCATGCAATGACCCTAATTTACCATATCTTTTTAAAGGTTAATGAAACTAAAAGTGAATAGTTGCATAAAAACTCCTATGAAACTGAGGCCTCTGGAGTGGGTTTCTTTTGTAGTTATTTAGAGCATTATACCTTTATTTAACCCCCTGCAGTCTCATACTTACCTCTCCATTCTCTCGTCTGTGGAGCTGCACAGCTGCAAGCTCTTTTGGCTTGTCTCTTACTTTTTCATACATAAAAGTTATGGATTTAATAAAGATTTTCTGTGTATGGGCATCCATAGAATAAGGGTCAGCTGTGAGATTTCCAGTGGGCTGGTCTGGCAAGAAATGAGGGTAGGTATGACTTTGAGGAAAGGGGGGTGACTGGACAGTAAAGTCCAAATATAGTGGTTTGAAAGTACAGTTGTCCTTTGAATTGGTACTAAACCCTCCTATCCTTTACAGCTAAGGGAGCTGCCATCTTAGCCTCTGTCTGATGTGCAGTTCCTATGGTGCTGTACATGTGATCAGCTATGACACCAACCATTATGATAGCTTGACAGTTCAGTCAAGAGCACAAGCAGCTGTGACCGGTTTCATTTAAGCCATGCCTTGAATGTAAGTGTGTTGGGAATCTATTAGATCAATGAGTTTAGGTCCATTTTAAGATGTCATTACCTGGGCTATTTATCAGTTGACCAGTTGGCTTTGCACCATGGGAGATTTTTTGGTGCTGGCAGATATTTACTTAAATATCTGCTGGTTGTGATGTAATATGTAGTAATTAATCACTTCTGTTGTCCCTCACATGTTAGACTAGATGTTGAATTGCTACACAAGTCAGTAGTTGCAGCATTGAGTAGTCCATTGTTTTGGTATATAGATCAGTCTGAAGCAGAGATCCAGTTTTCATTTTGGGGCATATTGATGTGTGACATTTACCAAACATTCACTGCAGGTGAAGCATTTCCTGTAATTTAAAACACTAGCACCAGGAAGATTCACTTGCAGTGAATTATATGGTAAATATTGCATGAGCAGCTTTCTAAAATATGCTCCTAGAGTGAAAATTCCTTTTTCTTTCCATAGAAAAGAAAGATATGTTTCACCTTATGTTCTAACATGCCAATCACACATTTAATTATGTTGTAGTGTACAGTCATTGACTTGAGATCCTCAACAACTAGATTTTGTATTCTTTTAAATATTTGTCTGTTTCTTCTTGTAGAAAGCTGGCATTGTGAATGCCAGGTACTATGATGTTTTTAAATATTGTTTTATTATGAGAAGACAAACAGAAAACATCAGGTAGATTGTGTAACCTAACTGTCGAATAAGGAACATTTGTGTTGACGTGAATCAAATGCTATGGCAGAGCCTGAAGATGGGAATATTGATGGTAATACACACTTGTTTGCTTCACAGCTGTTAAATGTGACTTATTGACACCCACATCTATATGTCATGTCTGTGACAATCACGATTTCACCAAAATATGTTTTACCTACACCTCTCTTCCTTCTGTAGCAGGAATGTTATCCAGATTTTTTGTGTTTTGAAAATTGTGTATGCATGACCATTTTCAGGTGCAGTTCAGGAAACAATTCTTTGTCAAGTGTCAGTCCATGTAGTTTGGATTATGCTTTTTATTTTATTTTTTTTGCCAAAATTTGTATTTACCAGATGTACATGGCTTTGGTATAAAAGTCATGGAAAGGAAGGTGTAAGGGTGTTCTCTTTATTGCAGATGTTACATATAGATCCCAATGCAGTTCTTGTGTTTTTGTTATGAGATGTGCACACCAGAAATGACAGTTGGTTTCTGTGGGAAGCACACTCACTCCATCTCACTGTTGTCCCACAAAATCTGCTTGATTTCCAACTTGTAGTGGAGTAAAGGATTTTTCAGAATTTTTTGCTAAAAGAAGCAGTGAAGAAGTGTCATGCTGACCTCCTCCTAAAAATGCCATTTGCTTGGCAGCTCATCTCTGACATCTGTCCATGAGTAACTGACCAAAGACAAGCATATTGAAAGTAGAGTAAAACTCCTTGTCTGTATGCTTGTTTGATGTCTGTGACTCGAGAAGCATTGAAATCATTGCATGACAGTTGGGCACCTGGCATTTTCATTACATCCTCCTGCTTTTTTCCTAAAACCGGATTCCTTTCTTCTCATTCATGGCTCTAGAGCTTTTCTTTTACAGTTGTGTACACTGTGCATATCTGTTTCCTGTGTGTGATAAGTTCATATAGATGTTTATTGATTACCTCACCGTTTGTATGACCCTCTAGTGTTTTGTTGATCATAAAATAACAGTGTGGTGTGCCACCAATTATTTCTTGTTCTTTATGCAAACTATGTCTTCTAAGTTTACATAACAGCTAGATAAACCATGCCATGACAATGTAACTGTCCCAAGCCCTATTCATATTGTCAGACTGTGAGATTCTGGTGCTAGAAAGACTTTTTTACTCTGGGAATTATTGCCAGCTTGATCTGATGTACCAATGACTGTTCTTACATTAGTGCTGAGGAAGTAGTATACTCAATCCTAATGTTCTGTTGAAATGATAACTTGAGTAATTTGAGATACTAAAAATCTAATGCTGTCATCCTTAGATACAGAATACATAAAGAAGCAGGTGAAGCAAACCTTACTTTTACTTAATGCCCAGCACCTCAGCAGCATGTGCCTTCAATTTGCTCCTCTGTTGCTCCATTTAGCTACCAAGAGTGGAGAAAATACCTGATATTTCTATGCATGGTGGAATATGACTTGCTCCACTTTCTGCCATGTGACAGCTTTGGGACTTGATTAGCTATTTGTTGTCACATACGGAGAGTGAGAGACCTTAGCTCTGTGTAAGCTTTTACCAGAGCGAACTGAAGTTTACAAAAAGCTGCTTTACTCACTTCTGGCAGCTATCTGCTTATGGGGAGTATTAATCAAACCTGCTGCTTTGCCCTGCATGGACCAATCACAAGTTTGCTTTAAGGAAGGTATTATTAAGCTGAAGTACAACACTAGGGTATGTCGATTTGTTTGACAATATGGAGATATAGTGGGCTTGCCCTTGGGTTACTCCAGTTACCTCCCACAATTATTGTCTCCATCTAAAATTGGCCATAATGATATTGTAATTAGTAGGCCCAAGATGGCAGCCTCACTCTCTGACCCAACAGCAGATAAATCTGCACACATTTGCCTTTTTTTCTCTATAAGTCATTGGAGTGTAAAATATATAATGATTATATGAAATGAGATGGCAGCCGTTAAGCCAGCATATTACTTTGCCCTGCAATTTATAGTTGTGTAAAATTTAATGTCCAAGCACACCTTGCCCTAATAAAGCAGGCACAGGAAGAGAGGGTGAAAGGAAATATTTCAGTGGGGAAACCTGTCCTGGTGAAAACTGTGAGAGGGGATATTCCCTTGCTTTTGAGAGATTACCTACTGCAAGATTACTTTCTGCTGTGTCTTTGGATCAAGCAGTAAAAGTTTTGCTGAATCCAAAACTGAAAACAAATGGTTTTGACTTCATATACACTTTTAAGTATCTGCAAAGTACAATCATTGTAGAGCACTATTACACAGGGAAAGGAATGCATATGAAATGAGCAAATATGGCTGCCTCCATATAAAGAATTACAAATTAGATAAATAAACCTGACTTTTAAGACACTAGACATTGA